GCGAGTGCCTCGTCGCTGCTCGTCCACATGCCCGACGGGACCACCTGGCACCGGCACGCCGACCATGTCAGGCCTCGCCACGGGACCTGGCTTCCACCCTCGGCCGTCGCTTCAGAGGACCAGCCTGTAGGGGGCCCAACAACATCACCAGTAGCGGCCAGCGGAGCGCCATCCACCCCGGAGGCGACAAGCGTCGCCACTCCTGTGGCACCAGTTGGACCGGTGCGTGAGCGCCGGTCCAACTGGTGCCACAGGAGTGGCACCAGTTGGACCGGCCAGCTGGTGGACCGGTCTTCGCTGCCGCGTACTCCGCCCAGGCGGAGTACGCGGCAGCGAAGACCACCTGACCGCTACTCGCCTGGGTGATCTTCATCATTGACCGGCCAGGACTTTGCGCGACCAGACGCCGAGTTGGTGTCGGCCGTGCGCGTCGTGTATTTAGTTATTTTGTTTTTTGAGAAACAAACTGGGGGGGAGGGATGTGACAAGTATGTAGCGCCCCCCTCCGGTCCGCCTGTCTGTGGCTGCCAGGCTCGGCGGGCAACATTGTTCACCGCACGAATAAACGCCGTTGAGCGCACGTGCTCCGGCCAGTCATCATCCACCCTCACAACCAGGCTGCGTGTCATCTCTCCTCGGCGAGTGCTTCGGCCCCTTCGTCCACGTTCGAGAAAGATCGTGACATGAAGATTGCATTTGTAAGGAGAATCGTGTTCTCGATCTAGTTATATGCTATGTTATTTTTGCGCAACGCGATGATTGGCTGTATATGTGCTCTGTGGTAAAGGAGACGCAAGGGAATTGTTCATAATCAGTGCGGCTATTACTCGAGTAAATACAGTAATAACAGAGATCAACATGGGAACGATAAAAATGCCCTATAAAAAACAATCCAGCCAAAGTAGCTCAGGTTATTCCCAAGCTTCCTTGTACTGCTTCACCTAATTTAGTTTAAATTTATTCTATTGACTGTACCTCGGAACGATAAAACATATATAAAGGTGACTACTAAACAATAGAGTTTAAATAAAAATAAACCTATAGAGCAGTTCATATACATTTTCTTGCGAGTACTCTTGCTAAGTCCCAAATTTTAATAAGACATTGTCAGAATACTGCAGTCTATTATAAAAAAAGTGGCATTTCAATTCCTAAATTTGTACTGCAACTAATAGCTGTTACATTAACACTCACAAGGTTCTTTTTTTAATATACCCGATGCTTGCACATGTAACGTCCTGCTCTGGGGGAATGCTTTCCGTTTAGTGCTTGGATGCACAGCGGCGAAGCAAGATAAGCGAAATTGCGATGCTTACTTTGTGGTTGCCACTTCACTGCAGTACAGAAAAGCGCAGTGAGATGTGCACTCAACAAAGCTAACTTAAGGCCCGTTCACACTCTTGCGACCGAGTACGACTGAGAGAGACGAGATTTCTTAAAACTTCTTAAATGTTTTTAGAATGAGGGAACACACTGGCATTGTGGCGCCATCTATGCGATGACCCCGGAACTGCATTTCACAAGAGGGAAGGTTTTGCGGGATTTCCGAGGTCAAATGTGCGTAATACCCATAGAAAGGCTCGTTTATAACATTGACAAAAGTTTTTCGAGCCAAAAAAGAAAGGATAATGCGCGAGAAATAAAAAAAATATGCCGGACCTTCGAGTTTACACTGCTTCCCAATAGATGGCGCCAGTGTGTTCTCTGGTTTAAGAAGTTTTAAGGAACCCAGGTTTAAGAGGTCGCAAGAGTGTGAATGGGCCTTTACACGCCGGAGCAGACTAGGAGCATAAGAGATATTGTGAAAATTCCGAGTACTGCCAATGTTTGGCACTGACAGAGAGATCTAATAGGATTTGTGGCTAAAATAGAAAGTTATACAAATTCACATAAGTGCACCATAACGATCCGGACCTGTAGCGGGGCCTGAGCCATTATATTTCCAGTGTTAATAAAGTGAAGTCAAGTTTGGACACAATATTGGTGAAAGTTCCTCACATTTGCACTCAATGTGGTGAATAGAGCAGCAATCACATCACTGCACTAGTGTGAGTAAAATGTTAATGTTTCAGAAACAAAGCATTGCCAGCACATAAAAAAACAGATGCTTCCTGAAATTTTAAAAATGAAAAATAATTTTTTATTTACATTCAGGAACATGCCATATAGCGTAAAAGAGTGGTCCAGAATTGCGGCTTCATAAATCTTTCTTTTTGGGATCTGTGAGGTCAATTTTCCTGTCTGCAGATTCCTTGTGTAAGTGAAGCTAATAAATAAAATATTTTTTCATGTACACAAAAGAAACGTTCTACTTTCGAGTGACATTTCTTCCGTACATGACCAAAATATAACGAGACTTTCACACTAGCAGTTACATACACATCCAGATGTAGGTCGACATTTTTTCGGCAATATTATTTAAAATTAGGGGTAAACATATAGATAACCATGACCAAGGAAGGTCAAGTTATCACACGAGATAAATTTCAGACCCCACTGAGCTAGCCCAGACTAAAGTTACTGGATCCTGGGAAATTGGCATCAGGCTCCCTGTATGGTTACCCTTTTGGTTAATGAAATGAGGAATTTCCCCTTTATCTCTTCATTCGTGGAGAGCCGATCTAAACTCGCTTGTGTAGCTTTATAGAGACCTTTCTTCTATACCAAGATTTTGCTATCCACACACCGGAGAAACAAGCGCGTCATCTTGGCACCGTCGTCACACGAGGTGCCGGTACTTAGAGAGATCGAAAAATATTTTCCTTTTGAAATATGCAAGAAGAGCACTATCATTGTGAGAGATCTGTGGAGAAAAGCATGATTGACAAGCCGATTGCACATACAGTGTGAAAGGCACTTATATTGGCGAGGAATGTTTTCAGTGGGATGAAGCTCCTTGGCGATCTTAGGCCAACTGGTTTAAATGACCCTTTCTAAGCTTTGAAATGTTAATGGACCGAAATGGTGATTGCGATGGCAACTGTGACAAATCAGCCAATATTGGTATTCGTTTGTGTCCTGTTAGTTGAATCCAGTGACTTTATACCAGACAAGGTCCTGAAAGCTCTCCAGCATCTACCGTTTCTCCTAGTGCCTCAGTGCAAAGCAGTGAAGCTTGACGAGCGAGTAGCGGTACGAGGCAGAGAAGCTGGACGTGAGATGCACACTGCTTGGAAGCGCATAGCTGACTGTTCTGAGAGTTTGAACAATGATGTGATCAAGGCTGACATGCAAATGTTAGCAAGAAGCCAAAGCTACTCAGCAACCTACAATTAAGTTTTTGCGCAAACTTCTTTCCTTATGTTTCCCACTTTAAAAAGTGAAAGCCGTTTACAACTCCCTGTAACACCGAATTAGAGCGCAGCTCTTGAGGAGGAGGGGGGAAGGGTACTGGGGGGGGGGGGGGGGTCACGTGACCTTGGGGGGTCACGTGACCTTGGGGGTCACGTGACGATGCCGATGATGTCGTCAGTGACGTCACTGATGACATCATCAGTGACGATGACGATGCGGATGTCAGTGACGTCATCAGTGACGTCACTGATGACGTCATCCGTGATGATGACGATGATGATGCGGATGCCGGTGACGTCATCAGTGACGTCACTGATGATGTCATCAGTGATGATGACGATGACGATGCGGATGCCGGTGAGGTCATCAGTGACGTCACTGATGACGTCATCAGTGATGATGACGATGACGATGCGGATGTCGGTGACGTCATCAGTGACGATGACGTCATCGGGGAGGTCACGTGACCTCAGCGGGGGGTCACGTGACCCTGGGGGGTGGTCACGTGACCCTGGGGGTGGTCACGTGACCTTGGGGGGGGGGGGGGGTCACGTGACTTCGGGGGGTCACGTGACTTTGGGTGTCACATGACCCTGGGAGAGGGGTCACGTGACCTTGGGATGACCCTGGGGGTCGCACGACCTTGGGGTGACCTTGGCTACGCCGACGCCGACGGCGACGCTGCTCAAGCCGGGAACGGGCCCCTAAGAGCTGCGCTCTAAAAGCAGGGTCGACCTATATATTCAGATATTTGTTTATCACTCATGGCGAGATCTCTATCTCTACCTTTGCGGTAAACCCGTATTCGAATAAATACGGTAGTTCTGTGGTTATTGTAATCATCTCACAGCTGTTGCCCTTGCAGTCATAGGTGAGGTCCCCCATTTTATCTACCAGTCCCAACCAAAAATAGTTGAGAACCGCCACTCAGTAAGATTGATTGTAGACGTCTTTGTATAAGACACCTCCAGTTATAGCCTCTGTGAAATTCATTAAGACAAATTAATATTCAATTAAATGCATGTCTGCTGTTCATTTATAGCAAACTAAGTGAGCCATTAAAGTGCTGAAAAAAAAGGCCCAGATGCCAGAATGATCACTTTTCAATGACTCGTTGTCGCCAGTGTTGCCTTAGCACCCATTTTTATAAAGGTTTCACTGCATCATAGCAAAATGCATCAAGGTAATAAAAGAATCAGCCACATTACAAACGTAATCATAAAATAAATTAAAATTCAAAGCAAGAATCACACAAAGCTAAAAGCATAATTTTTAGGAAAAAAATTCTGATCCTCATGTGCAGCTTAACAAGTATCAATAACCACCAAGCACAAATAAAGTGATTATATATTAAACAAAATCTGAAGAAAAAAGTTTTCTGATAAAAGAAGCAAAAAATCAAATTCGATTTGCGGAGCTCGCATTTTAAACTGATAAAAGGCATCTGGTGCACCCAAGCAATGTTTTTAGAATCAATATAGACCACCTGGGGATTTTTGAATATGCAACTAAAATGTGAGCAAAACATTGCTCTTTTTAGGGAAGCCTCCATCATATGTGAAAAGCTCGATCAGGGTTCAAACGGGCAAAGTGGATGGGTAAGTGCATACTTTGCGTCGGAGTCACCGAGGAGATTAGACAGTACAAAGTGCAGAGACAGCGCTTGAAACTATATGATTTGTGAAATCTGTCTCGAAAGTACTCACCACAGGTATACACAACTTTCAAGAAGAGCTTGGAATCCTTGTGGCAACTTGGGTTTCCAAAAGTGCCCATGTCTGCGGCTACTGTACACTTACGACGGCCATGACATGTTGTCAGCACAGTCTCGGTAGCATAGCTCACTTGGCAGTCTAGAGGGGGAAAAAAACGCCATTACTAATTACTGGACATAAATAAACATTCAGAACTTCAGTTTAACATTTTCACTAATATTGTGCGCTATTCTACCTTCGAATCAAAAAGCAATGTTAAAATTCGGATCGTTTCAATGAATTTCGAAGCTCATTGAACAGAGTTGCAATCTCCGTAAAGTGCGCTTCTTCCGACGCCGGCGTGCAGTAAGGCAAAGCAACCCTCGCTCCTTCAAGGAACGAGGCACGGATATTGCCGTGCATTATTCGCAAGGTGTCAATAACGGCGATTCGTGAATGCTTTGTTTAACATAAACCAGCGAAGCTGGATCCCTCATTCGCGTTCCTTGCTCGTTTTGAGGGGCTCCAGATAACGATTGTTTCTCGCTACTTCCTCCCCTTCACCAACACGCAAAAAAAGAATGTTAAAAAAAAAAGATGGAGATTTGCTGAATCGCTTTCACCGATTAAAGATCTTCCGAATTGTATGGTTAACAAAATAATACCTACTACTTTCTCTAGCGGTAAAATTTTGCTAATTCTACGTATCCGCTAATGGTGACCTTCACTCAGTCTCAATACCTTCCTCGTGTCAACATTATTAAAAGGCTGTTCCCGATATGAAAAAAAGGCCCTATTTATACTACATCCTCAAAAAAATAATTTAATGAAAGGAAGTTATTTTCTGGGTGAAAAGTTGTGCTATAATAGAAGGAAGTGATTGAAAAGCGGTCTAAAGGTAATTTCCTTACTTTTAAGATGGGACTTCCGTTGTTTCGCGGTAATGTGCAGTCTTCTAACTTTTCGGGCATTTCAAGAAGTGATTCGCAATGTTAATTTCATACCGTGTGATGGACAGAGCTTTGCACGGAAACGTTTGGCAGACGTTTCTATGAAAGAAGTACATAGAATGTAAAGTAACATTACATTTATTTATTATGCAAGCTGTGACCTGCTTCATTTATTCTCATTTAGCATTTAACATGGCCTTGTTTAACAGGCAAGATGCTACCGAACATTGCACATGTGATGTTTGGTTTCATCTCAATAACATGCCTTTCTTTGTGGCCTATGCTTCAATGACAACCAAATGCTCTGAAGCTAGCTCTTCAATTATAAGGTCGAAACAACTTTAAAACAAAATGAAATGTTTTTCTTTTGTAGATCACTTAGCTAGTGATGGGAATAAACACTTAGCATTTATATATCACGGAATAAAAGCAAACTTTCGTTTGCAAGCGTTTTTTTTCTTCTTAATTTACATTTACAAGGCTTGCACTCCTTTCCCTCCTCCACTATGTGAGTTTTTCTCCCGCCCCGCCCCATAACCAAACAAACAAGGAAAGGATGATCTCTTGGCTACAAATAATCAGCTTGCTCCGGCTCGCCAGAGAGTAAAAGCCCTAAGCCTTGGAAGCGACAAAACAGAAGAAAAAGAAACATCAAAAAGGAAGTCAATAACCGTTTCGGAATACGACGCGTCGCAAAGAAAGATATTGTTACGCAGTGGCGTCACAAGGGGGGGGGGGGGGGGGGGGGGGGGACCGCCCCGGGTGCAGCGCTTAGGGGGGTGTCGCGGCGGGCCACGAGAGCGGAGGGCGTGTCGCGGCGGGCTACCGCCCCGGGTGCCACTGACCCTCGTGACGCCACTGTTGTTACGTCATAATGAGACAATCGCACGCGGGCAAGAAGGATCACCGGGTTCCCCAAATCGGGCGGCGGCTTGCTCCACCTAGCCAGTGTTTTTAATACTGCTGCGCGCTTACGTGGCCAAGTGGGCAGCGCTTTTGGCTAACACCACCTAGATAAGCAGAAGGCGTCCTGGCCGTCATCACAAGCAGATCGATCGAGGCCTGAGATTGGGCACGAGTGCTGTGTCCGTGTTCGGCTGGGGCTCGTGTCCAGCCAGCGCATCAAAGGCCGGGCTCGGACCTAATAGTCGAGTTAGCCTGATCCGACTCTGATAGCGTTTCATGAAGGGAGAGGAGGCCATGTGGAGGCTTTTATTATTCTATAATAGGTGGTGTTGGCTTGGCTGACACGCACATGACTCGGGTTCGATTCACGGCACTGCGTGTCGGTTTTATCTTTCTAGATGTAAGTAGAAAATTCTAGAAGGTTGAAGAACCGTCTACAATGGGAGCCAGGTAACTGCCGGACCAATCAGCCACCACCCTCCGGAAAATCGAACAGATCTTAGACCTTCTGTGTCTTAGTCAATGTCTCAACATTACTTTATTAAATACGTCAATAAGGTAAGGCTCAATTACTTTGGCGCGTCCTTCATAAAATATCAGCCAGGGAAAACGATGAATTGGCCTTTCCTTCAGAAGATGATTGACTAAAATAAAATTTGCAGCGATAAATTGAAATGGAGAAAAGTGCATTCCAAGTGCCCAGATCTCTAAATTTCACTTAACACTGCGGCACCGGAAAGAATTATTGACACGTTAATTATGTGGCAGAAACGGATGTAACTTCGTGGAAATACTCTGCAGGTGTTGGTGGAGTTAAATGTGGCATTTCGTTTGTAAATGCAACTTTGCTCATACCTGAGAGTTTCAAGTCCTGCCGCTGCGGACACTCCGGGACTCCGTGCTCGGTGCCCCCGAAGTTTGCAGAGTAGATCGCTATCCTCAAGTTCCTGTGGCACCGCAAGTTAAGGACGCTGTCCTCGCAAATTATTCTATTCGTAAATGTGGCTGGAAGAGAAACAATGAGAAAATAAACAGATTAAGAGGAAGGAAACGGTTAACATTTCCACACGAGTCCGTGCTGGAAATTTGTTTGCGGCGACCAAATATGTATATGTTTCGGAATCGCTCTCGGTGGCTGCTAAAATCATTCATTAAAATTATTCATTCATCAATCATTCATTAAAATTAAACTTACTGTTATTTTTTACTGCATTAAAAACTGATTTTTTACACTTGAACCTGAGTTGGGAGTTCTCGTCTGTAGATGAATATGCACATTTTAAGAATCATTGTGATAAACTAAAATGATAATTTATTAAATTATAACAATCAAATCCCAAAAGGTTTGCAAGCGATACTATCTTTTCCTAAATATATGTTTTTTTTTTTTGTGAGTAGACTTTTAAGCCCCAGTTCCAGTGTTAGCCATGCTATATTAAGTAACTTTTGCACGGTAGTAAAAGTACACCACAACATCGGCGCTGTTTTGCAGGTTACTCAAACATTTCAGTATCGGCTACCAAATCTTACTCATGTGTGAATACTCCGCCACACTAATACTTTCACTAGAGAATGTTATAAAAACAGCGATGATTACAGGCTTCTGGTAATTGCGTCACGGCCTTTACCTTCAGGAACTGAAAAAAGCTTGTGGCCAATAAAAGAGTTGTCACCAACATGAAACAAAAGTGAAGAATTTAATATTAAGAAGGGCTCGTTTGTGCTCTAAATATCTAATTGTGACGCTAAAGCCACCCAAGAAGTTTCCAAGGTTTATTACAATCAATCGTTGCATTTATTGAGTGGTTGGCAGATGACTTGCCATCTGAGATCTCAAGAAGACATATACCATGAGTAGGAACTTACTGAAAGGTTCAGAATGAACTCGACTTTCAGACATAAGCTTCTTATCTCCAAGTGTATAACTGTGTGCAACTGCGTGCCCAGTAGCACTGAGCCTCAATTGTTTTCGTAACTTTAGCTCAAATTTAAAAATTACATGCGCATGCTGCTAAGACTCCTTCCCATATAGAAAATATAGAAAAAATTCTGCCATATGCGTGCACCGGGCGCTGCGATTGTCATTATGGCACACAGAAAGCATGACAAGAAAACTTTAGAGGACACCTAAGCGGCTCTTATGAGTTGCGAATACGAAAGCACGAATGTCGTTTTTTCGCTCCCTTATTTCGTCTGCGGTGTACCGGCGTGGGCGACCACGTTTCGCTACTGCCGATGTTGCGGCCGCCGACGATAGAGATGCTTCAGGCGCCGCCATGTTCCTCGGCGTCGAGAGGAGCAGAAGCGGCCGCGGGCCCCCACCCCCCTCCGGCAACGCCTGTCACGAGAGCAGCGGCCGAGCGCGCGCTCTCGTGGAGTGGCCGCAGCCGCTCCGCTCTGCTCTCTCCCCGCCCGCTGCTTCGCACATGTGCTGCGACTGCATTATACATAGAAATTATATATGGAAGTTTGTAACCTTTCTTAGACAGGTTCAGTACTATTAGAAACAACATCCAACCGTGCCACTTCTGGACAATTTTCGAAGCACGAGCGGAACAAGACGACTTAAACACACCAGTCGGACACACGTTCCAGGCGCCGTAATAGAGCTCCCTTCAAACCATTTAAGATTGCAATGCTCGCTTTTCTATCGGCGGGTGAGTGTGCAAACTCACTCGGTCGGCACTTGTAGGCAACTTCGGCGTATTTGTGCACCCCGGGGCACGGGTCCACCATGAAGGACTTGGCGTCCGTCCGAATGGTGCACTCCTCCTGCTCCCTGCAGGCCTCCTCCACTACCTGCAGCCGCGAAAGCAGTTAGGCCTATGAAAAGGACAAGTGGGCACGGCACAAGCAACGGGAAGGCATAAGCTACTCCACCTTAAGTGAGTCTTTTGTTCTGTGTGAGTTCAACGTCTTTCGTTTTTACTTCGAATATCTTTTCGGGTTCTCTCCACACGAACCTCAACAGACCGCCTCAAAATAGCGGCGGAAGCTTATGACTTCTAATGTTTCTTTTTAGGACTTTATCTAGTCTAACCTAACTCCAGTCGAGATAACTGATGTAGGCCAAACTTAAAAGCGGTTGTGCAAATATATTGAAAGCTAGAGGTGCGCCAACGCTGAGCAGTGTCGAAACTAGACTAGTGTCGTGATGTAGGCGAGTTGGTTCATGGTAAACGGAAACAAACAGCGCGCAAAAAATACACAAGGACGAAAGAAAAGTGCGAACGACACAAGCGCTGACAAGCGAGACAGCGCTTGTGTCGTTCGCACCTTCCTTTCGTCCTTGTGTATTTTTTGCGCGCCGTTTATTTCCGAAAATAGACGTGTATAATTCTTATGTCTTAGAGTGCAAAGGGAAATAAAGTATCGTGGTACGCTTTTCCGCCGTACCGTTTGCAGGTGATGCCACAGCCTGCAGTTCGATTCACAATACGCACGAACCTTTGATCGAAGCGGTGCGATATTGTTTCAAATTTGCCGCTTACAGTTATCCAACAAAAAGGCGAAAAGCGTGCCTTGTGCACGCATACTCTATAGCTCTTTCTGTGAAATTGTGCCCAAAAGCGGTTGCTTTGTCGACGAAGCGAACTGCAGAGTCTTTCACTGCGCTGTACTCCGTATCACTTTAACGCAGACTGTAGCGATGAATAAGCGCCAGCCCATTGTTTTGGAAAGCACATGGCATGCACAAGCATGCGTGCAGAGATAGCACTTGCCGAGCCTAAATTTATGAAGTCACTTTTTAATAGATGAATATGAAGATAAGGTTCCCATTACAAACTAGCCGCGCGCCATTAAGATCCCCTACATCAGTCGATCTAGGACCACTTGAAGCATTCGCTCGTACAGCAGGTGCTAAGCCGGCAATGCGAAAAAGTCAACGATAATAATATCATCTGCGTTTTTGCTTTGCCGGCCATGCGCGTGTTGCACGGGTGCTAACTTTAGTCCACCCCCTCGCTTCACACGATTTAAGCACACATTCCCAAAATTGACTGACTCGCGGGTTTTTCATGACGCTCAGCAAGCTTATAATTAGAAATGATACGATTGTGGCGCTGCGCTGACATTGCGGTGCTGTGCTCATCTTGTAGAAGAGGGCTCTCCCGTGACATGTTTCTTTTTCTATTCTTGCTCCTACCGGATCGGTCACCAAACGCTTATAAGCGAGCTTACCGTTTTGATAAACGAGATCGTTCTTCCAGCATCGAGAGTTTGTCTGTTTCTCGCCCTCCGTTTCCCTCGTGAACCGCCTGGAAATGTTACTTTTCACTAAATTGTAAGTGAATTAGAAATCTTTAGGTAATTACTTCCCGAATTAGTACCGTATTTTCCGGACTATACTCCGCAGAGGCAAACTCTGGGTAACAAATAAAATATTTGCTTAGATAGTCCGCACCTTTGACAAATACCTCGGTATTAAATCACAAAGAAGCATGTATCATACGTAAATCGACATTAATATACTCCGTTATTCATAGAATTCTTCACATATTGTCACAGTGAACTATCTAAAAATACAAATCCTTGTATAGTCCGCACCCGTACATAGTCCACAAGGGGTAAAAGTTTAACTTTTAAACGTGCATGGTCCGCAGACTATATTACGGAAAATATGGTAGGTCTTTTTCAAATTTATGATGTCCGCCTTGGTAGTCAGTTTCTCCCCAAAGAAAAGTTCATTTATTTCTCATACACCCTAGTTTTAAGAATTTTTGAGTCTTTGCACAAACACGTGATAACGTAAAACGCTAGATATATACATATCAACATAGAAACGTGCAAAAAAAAAAAAAAAAAAACAGAGGGGCGATGTACATTTTTTTTTTTTTTTTAATAAGGGCCCTTTGTGTTTGTTTTCTCTTGGGTCAATATAAATATTCTTGTTCGGATTCCCGATCAAGGCGTCCTAATTACTTTCAGTGCAAAAGGTGCAACTCGATCGAGCTTCTACAATTCCCCGAAGCGCCCTAAAACAAGCGCGGGTGTACTTTTCTGCATGTAGCGGGTGCCTAATGTGAAGTACTCGTTACGCGAGGTTCCACGTTTACCAAGCGTGACTCTGCCCGATTAACAAGTGTTTATTTTTTTCCCCCAGAAGACAACCCACTTTAGAAGAATGCCTCTATACTCCGTTTCACCTTCCGTCCGAGCACAGCGGACGCTAGGAGCCATCCCAGCCAATGCGGCGTTGAGGGAGTGTCATGCGACCTTGAGCTCCCTGTGTCGCTCCGCCCCACCGGCAGGTCACGCGACTTTCTCCCGGCGCTGGATCGGCTGGGATGGCTCGTGGCGTCCACTGCGCTCGGACTGAAGGTGAAACGGAGTATAGCAGTGTACGGTGAAAGAATACTCTAAAAGAAGGTTGCATTCATACAGAACAACAAAGCGCCTGGCATAGACCTTTTTGTCAAACGCAATTACGGTGCGATAGCACCAATAGGTAGTCCCTATTCGACTGCGCAGCCCGCCATTCGGAGGGAGAGGGAGCGGAATGTTAACGCGACTCCCCCTCCCTTTACTTCTCCGTGCGGCGCAACAAATTGGTTGCGCGTTCTATGGTGTCACACCAACAGCTGTGTTCCGTTGCTGACACTCTCTCCCAAGCGGTGGGATCAAAACAAACACGAGCAGGCTATACATGGGTTTCACGTAACGTCATCTCATCCTGCTGGTGGTCATTCCTACCTGTTTTTACAGAGCGAAACAAACTCGATGGTGTGAAATGTATGCTGCAGACAGCGGTGACATTGATGGCGCCACGTCAACAAGGCCGCCACAATGGCCGGTGACGTGATGTCAGTGCAAGCGATGTACGGGTTTCGAGGGATGGAGCGGTGTACGTACCCGCAGGGCTTCCTTGGCCATGCACTCCACGCTGCCGTTGTACTCGAGCGGCCTGGGCCGGTGCTCCTCGTCCGGCGGGCAGAGCAGGTGGTAGGGCACACTGCGGCCGTACTGGGCCACCGAGATGGAGATGCTCGTGTTGCGGAAGCAGCGCAGGTGCAGCGTCTGGCCGTCACAGGCGAACTTCTGGAAGGTCTTCAGCGTGCCTGACAACAGAGCTGGTGTCGGGAAGACAGCGGGGAGGCAAAGGGAGGGGCGCTCTGGTCAGTCTCGGAGCCTCGGAGAAACCTTCGGTTCGAAGTATGATAACGCGAAGAAAATGTTTTCTGTGTGTTCCAACAGAGAGATGAGTAGTGGAGGAAGAGGAGAGTGTGATTGACGGTAGGAACACGAACATTAAGGGATCTGGTCACACATTGACCAATTCTCATAGGTTTGAAAATCGTACTGCTCGATTCATTATTTCCAACTATGAAGGCACTGCCAGTGTCTCGGCCTCGGGAATAACCCGCTTTTGTATTTTTCATAAGATCCTCTACCACCACCCTCAACTTAGACAGCCTTTGCTATTAGATCCCCATTGTTCATCCAGACGACATTTCAACTGCCTTAGCGTACGTCGCATATCTGGTTCCACCGTCACTTTTTAACAACTCATTCCTTCACCTTGCCATAACAGAATAAAATCATTATCTCACGAGGTAATTATCAGTGACCCCGATATCTTTAGAAATGTATAATTTCTGATTTTTCTATAATCAGTCATGTTCCCCACACGTGGGGAACATAACTTGGTCCACATCCAAAATATTCCGTACTTTTTTATTTTTTTTTGTCCCAGTACGCCAATGTTTCACACGTTTTTTGTTTTTGTTCTTTTCTCGTGCTTCCTTATGTAACGCCTGTGTCGGGGCCCTTAAGGGATCATTAATTATTTAATTAATAAAAGGTAATTTGGCATTCCTTAATTCGCGAATAAGATGGACAATGACACCCTCTGTTGGGACACCTACCAATTTTCTATGTACTCCTTGAACCCTTCAGTGTAGTTTTTCTCTAATGTTTCAGAACACCTCCTGAAGCTAAAACTATTTTAAATTATGGTGTTTATTTATTGCTCTGTAATTTACAGTAATTACTTTAAATAAAACTTTAAAAAATATATTCCTGTTTTTTGTGTGAAAAGTAGCCAATAAAACTTGTTTTCAAGAAACAAAAAAAAAAAGAAAAGAAAACAAGTGTTTAGAAAAAAAAAAACGAAGCTTCCAGAGCAGTAAGCCGTCCTGAAATATATTAGATTGAATACGATGCATATTTATTAATACAAATATTATCCTAGCTGTGTCATTTTTGTAAATGCTTTCTAGAAGTTTAAATGACAGGCATATTTATCGAACAAATTAAGCCGGTGCTCCAACGAAAACCCTACACTGTTTCTGGCAGGACAAGAGCGCCGTCTAAACATTTCTTCTCGTTCTATAGAATCAACAATGTGTCATTTTCAACTTTATTTTATTTTTTGTATAGACAGGGGTGTGTACATACATTTGGTATCTATCGTGCTGAAGCTAAGTTCATGCGCTACATTTGATTGCTGTTAACTCCCAATTACTGTCTGAGGAGGCATAAAACGGGTGTTTTATTTTTTGTGGCCTTACCATCAGAGTGAAAGAATCAAGTTTGCAAACCAAACCAAAATGTACCGAGCGACAGCTAACCGGCAGCAGAAACGATCGAATGGAATTAACTTCACCGAATGTAATTTTAATTGATTCTGGATATTCCTTTGTGCGATACGTGAACAAGCGATGAATTCACAAAATGTGCATAGTACATTCTGGGAGCCTCAGAAGCACATCTCAAACAAATAAATGTATATCTAGGCTCCAACGATACAATCACTCAAAGATGAAGGTTATTAAGGGTGCACACTTAAGCGGCCGTACGTGTGCTCAAAACGAAACGTCGTTCATGCGTTTCATGCAGCGCGCACGCGCTCAGGCACTTGCGAATACAGCTGGCGTTCGTTTATCACAAAGATCAGGCACGCTGGAGTTTCAATTCCGTGGAGTTCCAATTCCGTTCTAGACACGTGCACCGGAAACTGTTTCGTAGGGTGGACACAGTTTCTTCGCAAATGTTTCCATTTCTCCGGGGCTCCTCCAATGACCAAGAACGCTCGCGCATGCAGCACAGTGCGAATGCAACATTCAAGTGGCAACATGCAGTTCAAGACACGTCGAACAACGAACACAGCCGGTACATTTGTGCGTATCAGATGCACATGCAGTTCGTACCTGTTCTTTTTGTTCTTTTTAAGGATATAATTACTCGGAGACATCAACTACCGGATTGCTTTAAAATATTTTTTTTTCTCCGTCTGCAGGCCGGTTGTGCTCGACAGGTGGACTAACGTCGTATGCAAACCGAAGCAATGACGCCTTTTCCTTTCTCACTAAGTGATTTCGTTTCCAACTTTTCTGCCCGTTCCGGACTTCCGCTATGCGGAGCGCAAGTTTGTCTGATTTCTGCACAGGGACTGCGATGATGTCAGAACGCCGAACTCTTATTGGCTGGTTGGAAACGAAACAGTGGGTAGACCTCAAGGCATCTAGCATAGAGGTGTACCCCCTATCTCCTCAATCTAAGCCAATCAAAGCTCGGTGCCGTTCTGACGTCACCACCACCCCGCCGAAAGAAGCAGACGACTTTCTCTCCGCATCGTCACTGAGAGCTCGAGGAACGCAGAGTGTGGCGAGTCCTAAGCAGCTGCTCCGCAACCAATCAGAGTGTGGCATTAGCCGGCGGGAACACGAGAGAGCCAATCACGAAGAAGGAAGCCCGAAGAATAATGAGCGATGCCCTGCGATTTCTTAAGCTACCAGCGACTATATGACCCTTCTAAAAAAAACTATCAAATTCGCGTGGCAAATTTCGGACCGCCATTGCGGGGATGTATTCGACCAGAAGAGAGCGAATTTCTACGTCGAACCCGTAACCACCGGGAATGGTCATTCCCAATGTGACTGGAGGGTGATCTAACTGCAGGGGAGAATTGCCGCCTCAGCTCAGCCATCGTCCTGTGCATCGCAAATTCCGTACGATGGTAGTTTTCAAATTAAAAATATATTTTTAATTTAACGCGAGCCACGCAAAGAAAGAAAACGTAAAATTTAATAAAAGCACGAGTATATGAAAGGTATGTCAATGTCCTTAAAACTGAAGGGACCTTAATTGCGAAATTCAAGCAAACAATTGGCGATGTTTGTCAGATAGTTCGCCTATTAAACATTCCACAAGGTATAAGCGGAAGCCAAGAATTCTAACCAGAAAAGGAACGACAAACTAGGATACTTTGATATTATAAAAGGGTTTGACAATCGAACGTTGTTATTAAGGGTCGTGTAGGCCCTTTCAAATAGTGAAAAAACACGTATCAACAGTCTTCCCGTACAAAAAAAAAACAACAAAAAACACACACACACACACACACAAAAAGTTTCGCTTTAAAATTTCGATGCGACGTAGCAGTGTAGTAGGATAGAATTCCGATCGTACCTAAAATGCCCCCTTCATATTCTAGACTCGGTTTCAATGAACGGGGCCGCATGCCTCCAGTCACAGGTGACACAATCTCGCGCTAATTTTTTTTTTTTTTCTTTCGAGTCTTGCTAGTTTGGAGTTTGACATCCCGACCCGGAGTTGAGCGCTATAGTTTTAAGTGCACTTTCCCACTCAGCTCGCGGCGCGTCCGCGGATGCTTTCTAAGATCAAAGTTCCCTCCAAAACCCAAGACGCGCGAACTATCAAAAAGGCGGTCGTCTCTGAGCAGGTGTCGAGTGATATATAGTACACTATACCAAACGTACTACATAAAAAGAATTTAAAAAAAAAATAAAAAAGTCCCGGCTTTTATTTGTTCACGTCGCATGTCAGCTTCGCTCAGAGCGAGTGCGCCTTCTCGCCTGCCAGAAATGATTGAGCGGCGAAAACAGTTCTTTTTCTCACTCCTCGAAGCTCAGAAGCTCCGCCGAAGGAACGTGCGTTGAACCGCAGTAAACCCTACGAACCATTCCAGCCAATCTAACGAAGAGAACGCGTCACGTGACTTGCACGTTGTTGTTGGTGCGGCTCTACAAGCGGCGCCCCTCCCGATAGTAACGTGACACTCACCCGGCACCGGACTGGCTCCGATAGCCCGTACTGTTCGCTACGGTCCATATCGTGAGGCAGAATGGAGCACAGTTGCTCAACACACGTGGGATCTGCCTCCTTCTCGAAGCAACCTCGTAAAAAAAGATTTAAAAAAGGAAGCAGTCCAGAGTGTATACTACGGAACGCGAAAACAGATCTTCCACCCCCGATACAGTGTACGGTGGCCCGAAAGTCGGTGCGGCCCTCAAGTTCGCTCTTCCAAAATAAAGTCCGCGACGCTCGCGTGTGTACGCCCGCGGCGAACCGAGCCACGCGTGAAGAGTGGGGAGGGCTCAGGGAAGTCGGGAGGAACCCATGGGGGACAACCCCGCACGTGTGTAAACAATCGTATAGCGCGACAAAAAAAAAAAATATATATATATATAAAATTATAAGTCGTGTACAGCGCGTTTTTATGATGCACGATGTGTAGTCGGGGCGTATACAGTCGCGAGCTCCACGTAACGACTTGTCTTAACGGTTTTCACGTGGTCCGCACGTATGCGGAGTTCCGTCGGGCGAGTCTTGACGAGTCGCAGAGCTGGGCAGGAGACGGATGATCGCAGCCGCGGAGCTGCCTTGCCCAATATACTTCTTCCGGAAATCGCTGCATGCAACACTGGCAACACCGCGCGAGTGTTGCATGTTGGGAACTATACTCGTTGTCACCTCAAGAACCGTAGTAAAAAAAGTTCGGCTTCTCGCGGAGCATTACCAATTTCCCCCTTTATATGGAGCCTTAAAGGAGCGATGCAACAATTTTTGTACTGTGCACAAATACCGCTTAAATCGGATCCCTAACGTTAATGACCTATGAAACACGCGTTCGTTTTTCACCCCACGCAATAGAAGTCCCAGAAAAAAATTTAAGAAAAACGAGCGGCGTTCACCCCCTCAACTCGCAGCCAGAACAAGCGGCCACGTGATCTGGAGCCGATTATATGCCGCCAGTGTTGATCATAGCCACGCGCAGGGGTTGGCAAAGCGCAGGACACGCGCTGAGTTCCAGACATTGTTATGGCTC